ATAAAAACAGAAACTAAAAATCATTATTTTTAATTGGTCCACTTGGACCAGACCAGTGTAAGTCGAGTTGTTCTTATTTACTTTCCCTCATACCACTATGGTGGGTTTAACACGAGTAATGTAACCATAAATTTAAATACTCTGGTTACACCATAATGCTTTACAGTATTCATGAAATGCTTTTATTATAAATATATAGTAATAATAAAAAAATATGGGTACTCTAAGAACAACTCGACTTACACTGGTCTGGTCCAAGTGGACCAATTAAAAATAATGATTTTTAGTTTCTGCTTTTATATACCAAAAAACAAAACTGTCAGTGTACATGTATAGCACACTACATCTTATCTTCAAGTTACCAATTCACCAGAAAAATAACTCTAATTAAGAAAAGGCTTAGGTCAAACACATGCATATCTTTTAAGCTATTTTTTTTTTTTTAAGTACAAGTGTTTTAGTGGTGCTTCATTGCTAGAAACATTTGTCATGTTTTAACAGTTTGAATCAGCTCAACGTAATACACAACATAGATTTTCAAAAGTGACTTCTATGAAAAATTTCAAAATTTAGTAAACTAACTTTTACAGAAAAAGCGAAGGAAGAATGCAGGTAAATAAACAATATGTAATAACACAGGCCTGCAATGGTTTTATTGTCTTGAAATTTTTACATGTTCTACAGTAATTTCTGTATGCTGAACATGAAAGGATATCCATTTTTCTCCATTACGTACAGATTTTTCACAAATCATCATAACGCAATACATAAAAGAATAACCATAACTTTTATGTAGATTTGAGACTAAAACAAAGATTTCACAAAAAAAATTCAGGTTGTATGTATGTTCTTATCTTTTTTTCATTTTGTTTGTATTTTTGTTAACATACATAATAATAAAAAAAGTTCATTGGGTAAACGAAATAATAATTTGATCTAAGTATGAGTGTTTTTCTTTTCCCAATTTGTAAAAAATTGTGTGATAGAAAAAAACGAATATTATTTTCAAAATCTACATAGCTGAATTATGGAAAATACATTATTAAAACCAAAACAACTTTTATGAAGTTTAAATTCACAGACCTGTGTAATTAATATAAAAACACACACAGTCTAAAGCTCCAGTTGTCATATTTAAAAATTCTCATAAATAAAGGTAGTTGGAGAAAGTTTAAGATTATTGTAATCTTATTAGTGTTTATGTAGCAAAAACAGAGTATAAGCATCTGGACAACCCACCCACCCATAAGGTAGCAGAGGGAACATATCTTGGTTGTTTCGATGGGTGACCTTGATGATCTGAATGGCTTCCTTTCACTTTGCTTGTTTATATGTTCTTCAACACTTTAATGATAATGTATTCTTCCTCAGTCTTCAGGAATTCCTTCCCTTTTAAAGAAGATTCACTTTTTCAATTCATGCCTTTCAATTATTATGCTACATGAAGAGCATGATCACATACACAAGTTCTTAACAATAGCCTTCCATCAATATTAACAGTTCTTAATTGCCAAAATATTTTTCTATAAATATAAAGTACTTAGCCCAACATAGATTAAGCACAGCACAGAGAATCTTTAATATATTTACAAATGTATTAGACAACTTCACTCAAAGCGGTTGATTCTCTAGATTTCTTTCTTAAAGCTACATACATGGGTGCACAAGTATGGCAGCTTTCTTTTAACCTATTTTAACATTAATATATTTCTTTAATTTACTACTATTTTCAAACACTTATACAAACTTTAAAACTTACCTATATACACGCACACAAGAAATACACATTTTAAAAAAACATAAAAGAGCAAAAAAAGTTCTTCAAAATTAAGTGTAAAAAATGCATAGATGTGCAATACGAAAAAAAACAGTCTTACAATTCACAAATTGAGTTACTTTAAATCATAAATATTCAATATTTGTAATTATTAGCAATATCAATTTTTCCTAATCAACAAGCATTAACTCTGAACTCAAAAGAAAGATGTTACCTTCGCCTGATAATTAAATGCTATGTAAGCAGATATGCCAAATGAGATAAACACTATCAGCATGTCAGGCATGACACAACAATAAACAACAGATGAATTGTGCATGTTCAGTGACAAGGCCATCTGCTACTTTTATAAACAAATCATTTCACCTTGAAGTGTTGGGAAAACAACACAAAATAACAACACTTGAAAAAAACTGTTTAAATCTGCAGTAATATATATATGTGCGTATGTGTACTTTAACAACTTCCAAAACCCATTTCTGTAATTCTAAGGTTAAAGGATACATGGGAGAGTTTCCATTGATTTAAACGGTTTTACGTACTTTAATTTATTGTTTATGATATATAGTTATGTACACGATCAAACGTTTCCTTTTTACAAAATTTCAAACCCCTCGTGAAATAAAATATCAAACTTCAGTTGAAATTTTCATTTTAATCAGAAAAATTTTCATTTTATTTTAAACATGGTGTGGGTTTTGTAAAGTATTAATATACACATATTTTAATGTAGACTGAATGAACCCTTTAGTAATTCTAGGATTAAAGGATACGTGGCAGAGTTTCCATTGATTTAAACGGTTTTCCCTGGCTTTTTTAATTTGTTGTTTCTGTGCTTAGAACTTGAAGTTATACAACAGTTATGTTACAGTAATTCTAGGATTAAAGGATACGTGGCAGAGTTTCCATTGATTTAAACGGTTTTCCCTGGCTTTTTTAATTTGTTGTTTCTGTGCTTAGAACTTGAAGTTATACAACAGTTATGTTACGTAACATAGTATATGGACAACAAATGATCATTTGGTCTTTTAGGCTATTTTTGCATCCTACCCTTGAGAAAAATGAAAATTTAAATATCTCTTCATTTTTCAGGACATTATTGATTCCCTTCTTAAACTTTGGTAAAGTGCTGGTCTCTACTGGTGATAGCAACTTATTTTATAAGTCAATCACCCTCTTAAAAATTGTGTTATTGGGAACATTGACTATCTTTCTCCAAATCTTAAGCTTGTGTCCTCTCATCCTATTATCTTCAGAATACAGCACAAAGGCTTGTATCGTAAAAATCCCCTAGACAATATTGTAAACTTCAAACGGTTATGTCTTACTCTTCTTTTCTCAACAGAAAATAAGATGAGAGATCTTAACCTAGTTTTTTTTTAGATATTCTTGGAATCTCTCCTCTGAACCCTTTCCAATATTTTTTATTAGATAAGAAGATGAAAACTCTACACAGTATTACAAGTGATACCCACTTAGTGATTTTACAGATAAATACCAGCAACAAGGCACTGCTTTAAAACTTATTGTTAGATATACAGAATATAATATCTATGGTTACAACGTTTCACCAAGTTAACCTGGCATCATCAGGTACAACAACTAAAATTAGTGAATTAGCAATCTAGACCAGTGAAGCTTTCCAGAGGGTACGTGAAACATTTAGATATTTTATTAAGATACATAAATAAAATTTAAAACATTGCAAATAGTGCCATGAATTTGTCATGTCAGAACTAGAAGGTAATCTTTTCACATCTGTGACTTATCGAGAAAGAGAGAGAAAAAAGATCTGTAGTTATACTGCTCTATAGTGTAAACTTGTTTTAAAACCATGAGAAAAGCCTTATTTGGCCCCTATTGTTTAATCTTTCAACTTAACACCAAGGAATTATATCTACATTTCAATATTTCCCATATAATGCTCAAGGTCAGAAATATTACTAATATCTTCTTTTGTACAAAAGTAGGAGAAAGGAAAAAATCTCTCACTCTTCAACAAAATCCTTGCCATCAATGTACTTTATCTCCACCACACCAACAACAAACTATCCCACCAAATTAAAAAAATATATACAAAATATTTTGTAATCATTCTTCCACACAATAAAAAATACTTTAGTGTTGAAATTTATTCAATAGTTTTATTTATTTAATGTTATACATAAACATAAAAAACTATGTAGCGTTTACCGATTCTGGGTTGATTTCACGTTACTCTGAATGGACACTTTATTGTTTGTGAATTTCCCAAGTTTACTATATTACTTATAGCCTCCTAAGAGGAAAGTCAAGAGAGCTTTGAAAAAAACAGAGTAAATATTACTTTGAAACAAGTACAGTTTTATCGATTTTAGCCAACCACTTTTTTCTCAACCTCAGTTGTGATGTAATTACCTATATCTCAGCTTTGAGAAGTCACAGGCTAGTGATCAAAACAAGTAATGAAGGCTTTTCCCTATTCTTTTCAACCATATAAATCAATAGGGCTTCCAGTTTAGCAGAGATTAGAACAACACGTTAAACGCTTAACTTGGTGCTATGTTGTTAGAAGAATATATTTCTGAACAACTTCCGCTACAATTACATAACAGATTTTTTGGAAGCTAGCAAAATCTTGCTTTATCACTTATACTTAATTTGAATTTTGATGTTGCAATCATAAATAATATTCAACGTTAAACTGGTACACAATTAAAAACATTTTATTTAAGCCTAGCTATGGCCTTCAAAAAGTTGACGACTACATGTTTTGACGTTACAACGTCATCCTCAGGAATGAATTACAAGACAATTGCCAAAGTATTTATAAATGTTTTTAATTGTGTACCAGTTTAGCATTGAATATTATTTATGATTTGAACTTTATACACAAGTGCCAAAAATACTATAATTATGATGTTGCAGTATTAAAAGAAATGCTTGAGAAACTAGATGGGGTAGGCTTAGTCAAATCATTTAACACTGACCACACAACGTTTCATTTTACAGACAAAATCAAAATATTAGGCCCTGTTTACATTAGGCCTTTCTGACCTAATATACTGCTTGAATAGGCAAAGAAAGTCACCCAAAAGAAATGTAAAATGTGTATAAACAATTATTTAATACTTTACATGAAATCTTCTAATTAACAATTTAAAACAAAAGTTGGCTTGCTTATAATTTTGGTACAGTAAAAAGTTTCTGTTCTACACTAGCGATGTTAAACAATGAAAAAGTGTTTGGTGTATTTCATATAAAAATAAAATTTACAATAATGTAGAAAGACACCAAACCTAATTATTCAATGATCAAATATTCCCCACTTCAATAATAAAATCCTCATTAGTGGTTAATAATAAATCTAAAATACGATCTTCTTAACCGTTTTGTATAGAAAACCATAATTATTCATTTTAATGAATCTACCACTATTTGTATCCAAATTTAATGTCTCTCATGTTTACGCCATCAGTAAACATATTAGATCTCATTATATATATAGTCTCTTATTGACCTCGTCTGTCTGATCAGGTAGCCTATAACAACTGCCAATTAAAAACCTTTCTTGCCCTAAAAACCCACGATTGTAACTAACAGATTCAACCTCTTGAATACCTTTTTTTTTTGTCTTCAGTCCTAACAGGGTGCAGTTCAATCTTTATAGAGATAATGACTTTAAAAGTTTATCATTATTAAATAGCTCATACCCTGGAATTTCAAAATAATTCCTATTATCTATGTTCTCCAAATCCAGCCACATTTCAGTAATTCCCATTATCATAATCTTTCATTTCAACTGCAGCCCCAAACTCACCCATTTTTTTCTTATTACTCCAAACATTAGAATAATAAAATTAAACTTATTCTTGATTCTACTATATTTATTTCTAAACCTAAAAAATGTGTTTTAAAACTATCCTATTAACTTCTTTGCTATCAATTTATAAACATTTTTCTGCACCAGCTTCTTGTAGGTTAATGACCGAGTATAAACATGAGATGAAGAGATCATTCTGAATTTGAATAAATTGCAAGACCTTAACCAAATAGTGTTACCTCCTAGAATACATTGGTCTTTGGTGAAAATAACATTTCTCAATTTTTATCTTGCTATATTCTCCCTTCCTTTATAAAATGAACATTAAGGTTTATTCCATATTAAACTACCATGTTAACAACAAAAACAAAGAGTAAAATAAACAGATCTTTATTGTGTGATGACAATCTCTGTTGGCTCTAGAGCTAGGCATTTATATCAATTACTCATGACAGCAAATATGCTATCAGTGTCATATAAAATAATTGATTAATCCAAATTATGATTAGATTGATTAATACCATAAAAATAATCAAAATATTGCCATTATGATTTTACATAATTATTTTCCATTAATTGAAGTTTATGAAGATTAAGTGATTAGTGTCATGACTCAAAAAAAACAAAAAAAACTAATCAAAATTAGTGTTTCTGATTATGGCTATTATGTTTGTTTGTTCGTTCTTAGGTTATATATCATGGTGTGTTGTCTGCAGGTATCAAAACCTAATTGTTAATGTTATAGTTTTTTGTTTACTTTGATGACAATACACGTTTTTCAATTTGATGATGTCTTAGTGGATTAATTGA